CTAGGCAATGTCCATGATTAAAATCTTGGTTTCCCATGGTCAAAATCTCAATTTGACCATGACAATCATGGTTTTTTTACCCTGGGCGGAGCTGACGGGAGGTATTGTGGGTCCAGCTTGAGGCATGGAATGAGGTAAGTGTTATTTTTTTCCCATTTACGAATGTGAACTAGAATAAATCCTCAACTATATTCTCTTATTGCAGGTACTAAAAGTTCTGACACCGCTCAAAGAGGAACGCAAATTGACATGTATTAACCGCCTTGACCTGCTGCGTCTGACCAAATTTTATTCTCCGTTTAAGTCCGAGACGAAAAAATTAGAAGGGGATTTGTACCTTACACTCCCTTTAGCCTTACTGGCACAAAAGAGGCTTTTGCGGCACTGTGACAATCCGTGTTTCCTCACGGGGCAGGATGTCGCGGCCTACCCTGAGTGAGAGTGAAAGGCAAGAAATTTTAATAAGTAGTAGCTCTCTAAATTAAATTGTTAAATTATTTATTTATTGTTTTAGTGAGAACGACTTTCTCTCAAGTGTGGCATTAATGGAGGAGCCCAAATGCTTTTCTTTGCTAAAGAGAAATGTAAAGTTGCTTTTGGAAGAAACAGTGGACATTGGCACGACGCACAAAATTGCCACCGTGCTGCATCCATCGTATAGAAATCTGAACTTATTGTCAGAGAGCGAGCGAAATGAGGTAACATAAACCTTGGTGGCGTAACAACAATTCGTTTTGCCCTTTGCATTTGAAAAATATTTTTTATTATTGGCTTAGGTCTATGCTGCTATCCGCTCCGCCCTACGGGACATGCAGCAACCGCCGCCCAAGGACACGAGTGACGAAGAGACACTAAGAAAAAAGTCTCGTCTGGACGATGGCGACGATGTTTCGCGAGGGTGAAGGGTCTGAAGGCTCTGAGGACGAAATTGATGAACTGGAGCGGTATTTTAGAGACGCCAAAGCAGTGTCTAGTGAGGACTTGTTAGCATGGTGGAAATCAGCGGTAAGAATTGTCGTAGTATTTCTCGTTTTTGTAAGCCCTTTTATAATTGGCATTACCCCTGCAAGTGCGACGCGGGCGCTCGTTTACGACTGCGGGGGAGAAGGGAGTGCAGAAACGCGGTGGGGGGGGGGGGGGGATAACACCGCCTGAAACGTATCCATCGAAATTAACCGTTTAAAACTTTAAAAAAAAAAAACACGTAATATTTTTGCGTTACAGGGTGCTTATCCAAGGTTGCAGCTCCTTGCCATGAGGATACTAGCAATTTCAGCGACAAGTGCCTCTTCGGAAACAGTGTTTAGCAAGGCGGGCTTTATCTTAAGTGACCGGAGGAAGAGACTAGCGCCCAAAACAGTGGATGCTATAATTTTCCTTCACCAACACCTCAACAGCCGTCGTCGATTTGAGAATGGAGAGGACGGCGAGGGGCAGTGAATGGCAATCAACAAATGTGTACTTTATGTTAAATGTTGCACATTTTATACATCTGTTGTTTTGTTTGTTTTTACATTCAAGGCAAACGAAATAGATATATTTTTATGTTATGTTATTTTATGTTTAAAGCTATATAATTTATATTTTTCCTTTTTATTTTGTTCGACCTAGTGAAGCAAAAGAAATAGAAACGACAAGACAAATTGCTGCATTCCTTTCCCTCTCGTTCTCGCTCTTGTTCTTTCTAGCCAAAGCTGACGACGCATGCGCGCGCTGCACTCCGCCGGATTTGCGATACTTATCGATACTCTTCGTCAGTAGCACCCGAGAGAGCACCGCGCCAGTGTGGCAGTACTCCGCCGTAAGAGACTTTACGTCAGCCGCGCGCTGCAGCTAGGCAGCAGCCGGGAGGCAGGCAAGCGGCCGGTGGCTCGGGCCGGGCTGGAGCCCGCTTGAAACAGCTCCGAGCGGCTTCGAGCCGGGGGCAGGCCAACAACCCACGTGTTCACGATCTCTGGTATGACCTGAGTTTCACAGGTTGTCCCATTGGGCCGGCACTCTACGAAAAACACTTTTTAAATACTTGGGGCAGGGGACTGAAGGGCGTCGCGTCGCGTCTGTTACATTATTCATGAGCGTGCACGTGGGCGGCCCCTCCACCCGCCTGTATCTCGGCTCCTGTATCAGGCCCACACGCCTACCCGCCGCGCAGCTCCTCGCCCACCAGACACCAGGCACGCGTCTGGCGAGTGAGGGGCGCCATGAAGGGACAAGTTGAGATCAGCACCGTCGAGCTGGTGGCCGCCAGACTGGAGAGGGAAGCTGAGCCTGGAGTAGTGTCTGGCCGGCTGGAATCCTTCCACGACCATCGCTGTGACAGTGTTCCTGCGAATCACAATGTCACCTACGCCGGGGGAAGCCCTCCTCCTATCGGCCTGGAAGAGGCACTGGATCTCACAGGTTAGTCGCACCACACCAATCCTAAGTAAGTTTACATGCGTTCTGAGGTGCCCTCGTCATCCTTGTCCTAGACTCTGGGTCCAGGCGTCTAGGTCTCGACGCGGCCTTGGTCCCGGCTCGCACCCACCTTCAGGCTGACGGATTGTTTACCTTAAACGTGCACCTGACACAGCACTCAACACATTGCGCAACATTCCCTCGGCACACTTAATGAGAGAGGAAGGACAAATTTGCCCAGGGACCACGGTTAAAAATTCCAACGGGAATTGCAACGGAATGGCCTGATAATTTTTGAAACAGTGTGATTCTGTAACTTATACGGGTGAGAACGGGATAACCGTTCGTTTAAATAACAGACTAAACCGTAGTTTTTCCATATGTTTAACATTTATCACACAGAGAAAATTATGTTCAACTGTTTAATCAATTGCTTTTGTCTTTCATTCAATCAGAACAGAGGGTTTCAAATGTTACCATTTAGAGAGCTCATTTTGAGTAAATATTATTATTGCTTCTGTGGGAGGTCGAGAGGTCGAAAAGCGCTCGGGTGAAATGGTCTATATAAGCGGGCTTATGCCATCGCCCTCGTGTCTGTCTGTCTGTCCGTCTGTCCGTTCCCCAAGAAGGACATGAGCTAGAGGTCTTAAATTTTCAGGGGATTATTTTTGCGTCACTTCTGGACGACGAAACGGTTGGTACAAATCCTGGCAACCACACCTGTGTGGGTCTGAGGGGGTCACAAAGAAATAGGGGTTGGTCCAAGAAGTGGGAAAAAAATTTTTTTTAATGGCCTCCTGTGGGGTAACTTGTGAAAGTATAGAGCCCTGTACTCTGAAATTTCGTCCGTTTGCACGACAACGCCGTCTTGGTTTTCAAGCAGCTCGTATAAAAACAAAACGCTCCCGTGTATTTTCTCCATAAGAGTTCTTCGGCTGCTTGAAAACCAAGACGACGTTTCATCCGTGTGGCTCTCACCGTTTAGGCGCCAGAGGGAGTTTCTCTCACAAGCGTCTCAAAAGTAAACATACTAATTTTAGAAGATATATTTGATGGTCTCCTAAGGGGTAACATGAAAGCAGACTCCTCTGGACTAAAGTTTGGCCGTTTGTCTCTACCTCTTACCGTTTCGGCACTAGAGGGAGTTTCTCCTACAAAAGTGACCCGAAAATAAAAATGTGAATTTTAGAAAACATTTGATGGTCTCCTCAGGGGTAAATCGTTGAAGAAGGGCCCCTTGGACTAAAATTCCGTCCGTCTGGCGTCATCTCACACCGTTGAGAGAGACGCTAGAGGAAATTTTTCTCGCAAAAGTGGCCCAAAAATAAATATATTATTTCAAGAAAATATTTGATGGTCTCCAAAGGGGTAAATCGTGAAAGAAGAACCCTCTGGGCTAGAATTTCGTCCGTTTGGCTTTCACTGCTTACTTACAAAAGAGAATTTTTCTTACCGAAATGGCCAAAACAAAACCTTTTTCATTTTTTTTTCAGGAGTACACTTCTGTCTGAGAAGTATGCCGTCGGTTCAAAATTTTCTTCTAAGCAGAAGAGTGGGCTCATTTTAAGGTGGCACATTATTAATGAAATGTATAGTAACATGCAAAAACAAACAAACATTTATTTCATTGTTTTGTAGTACTTCACAACTTGCTTCCTTTGTAATTATAGCAAAATCATTGCGGACATTTTCGGAGTTATTTCAGAGTATGCCTGGAAGTATATTGAACTTCTTCTGGGTCTAGTCTTATGTATCTTTTCATAGGTGTGTTATTGGATCCAACATCAAACAAGCTAACATCAAAAAACTTAGAAGGGATTTGGCATAACTGTATTCTACAAACTGCGGCACACACGGCCAAAGATGTTCAGCGTTTGTAAAGAATGCTTTGTTGAGTTTTGATTACGAAGTAGACAGCAAATTACCTGGCAAAAAAAAAGGTTCAAAGCGAGCCGTCACTCAAACAGGCAGAAGGCCCGTTTTCCGATAGAATAAGCTATAATTACACCATGAAAAATCAGAAGGGACGAGCCGAAGGCCCGTCTCAAACGCCGCCGGCAGGCCAAGCTAGGCCCGCTCCCAGCCGAATCGAGTTGCCGGTGGTGCGAAGCGGAGATGGCAACTTGGTTTGGCGGAAGAGCGGGCCTAGCTTGTTTTATTCCCTGCATTCTTCTGCGTTTCAGCTTTACCGGAATGCTCTATTCTACGGACTGCACAAGTTGTCAGCGTAGCCAGAGTCCGCAGAATTGTCCGGCCGGCTCAGCAGGGCCCTTACACTGAATAGGGTATAGGTTACGCCAGGGTGCTATACATACGTGTACACACAGCACTGGCCGTTTAGATCGTTCCACCTTTGCAAAAAGTTTCCATATTTGTGCAAAAGATTGATTCTTTGTCGAAAAATAAAGTAAACGTATGTACCAGGGTTTTTCGAGGTATAAAAGAAAAGAGGATGCGCAGCCCTTTAACACTAGAACTACCGGAGGGGTCAAAATGACCCCTTTCGATTTTGAATTGCCAAATGAACTATCAAATTTTTTTTCTATCGACCCGCCACTTTCTGACTTTTCATGGGTCACCAAAATACGCTTTGACACGAAAAACCAGGCATGTGCGTCAAAAACTGTAGGAGATATTGTAACATATACCTCGCTCTACCGAAGGGGTCATTTTGACCCCTGTGTCAGTTTTCGAGGGCTCTGATGGTTTTAACGAGCGGTTTTCAACTTAAACCTTGCCATTGTTGTTCTTTGTGGAAAGTGTTGACTTCCGCTTGGTCGTGTGACTATTTTAAAGCTCTATCAGCATAGGTAGGCGACCCGCACATCACAAAATCATGTCGCTTGCCCCTAATGCAAAGCACGCACGAAGCTCAGCCGCTGGCGAAAGCACGCACCGCGGAGCGCCGCTGGTGAAACCACGCACAGCGCAGCGCCGCTGGCGAAAGCACGCACAGCGCAGAGCCACTGGCGAAACCACGCAAGTGCATTTTTCAAAAAATTTGAGATATCTATATATTCTGAAAGAGCATGATTTCCTCTTTCCAACCGTATATGTCTCCGAAAATGACCAAAATATGCACTTGCGTGGTTTCGCCAGTGGCTCTGCGCTGTGCGTGGTTTCGCCAGCGGCGCTGCGCTGTGCGTGGTTTCGCCAGCGGCGGTTCGCCGTGCGTGGTTTCGCCAGCGGCGCTTCGCCGTGCGTGCTTTCGCCAGCGGCTGAGCTTCGTGCGTGCTTTGCATTTAGGGGCAAGCGATGTTTTTCTTACATAATACTTATGAGGCATTCGCAACGGTACTGTCAGCATGAAAACGCGCTACATGGTCGAACGGAGGTTAAAAATGATAATAAATGGTCTATTACGACTGTTATCGCACGATATTTGTGCACTGTTTTATCCGCATAACCAAAGTTTCAGAATTACTTCCAGAATTGGCGGTGTTTACGGTTGTCGGTCAGACTGAAAAAAAAACACAGACTCTGCTAAAATGTTGAGAATTATTGTATTTGATGGTAATCCTATGCAATTTTCCCAAAACAAAACGAAAAGTTACGAAAAAAAACTGTAAAACTTCTGAAAAATTACATTTTGTGCTCAGCAGGTTGCCTACCTACCCCTTCACAGGGACCCCCGTGGGTGCAAGAATTGCTTGAATTGTTATAAAAAACGAAAATAAGAAGTTGTGTACCCAAAACCGCAGTCTTTTCACAGCTAAAACGGCGAAATAGTACATAGGGGTCAAAATGACCCCTCCGGTAGATCTAGGTATACGAAAATCTCGGTAGTTCTAGTGCTAAAAGTTTAAAGATGTTTCACAACTACTAAGGTTTCTAAATAATCTGCTCAAATGCCTTGATTTTAAAAGGGAACCGTGCGGTGGATTCACTAAGCCCTACGGAATAAAGAAACAACACTCTCGACCCCTTTGAGTGGGGTGCCTGCCTCCCAGGGGCCCAAAAATAATTTTTTCGACGTTTTCAAACGCCTTTTTTCCCTCCCGCCCTGTTCTTTCCGTTTGATAATTTATCGAAATGGGGATGCTAGGTGTTATGTTCGTTATGTATTTTGCAGGTTTTGGGAGGTTTAGTGTCAAGTTGGTGCTGGGACTCTGGCTGTGCATGACAACCCAGAACTTCACCGGAACTGACATTGCGTACTCGCTGCCGGCTGCTCAGTGCGACTTGCAGTTCACAGCTATGGAGAAAGGCTGGGTGAATGCTGCCTTGTACGTTGGCATGATGAGCACGGCCTTCGTGTGGGGCGCGCTGTCGGACCGGGTGGGTAGAAAGTACCCGTTGGTTCTGTCGTACGCAGCCATGGCTGTGTGTTCCTTCATCAACGCAATGTTCGTCTCCACCGCCTGGGCCTTTTTAGTCTGCAGAGTCTTCATGGGTGCCATGTAAGTAGAACAATGAGGGATTCTACCCATACTACGTGACTGATTTTAGAGGGGGGGGGAGGTCGGCAAAGTACTACCTACGTTTGGTCACGAGGGGGTAGGGAGGGGTGGGGGGTGGCCGATGTCACGTATTTTTATGTTGCAACGGGATTTTTCGATAAATTTCGCACACTTCTTTACTCAGTCTTTTTTTTTCAATTTTAGCATTAAAAAGCTGCAAGTAATTTTATGTTTTGTTTAAAATAATTAATAGAGTGCTTTACTTACAATGCAATATTTGTCTTTCTCTCCGCTTTTACGGTTGTCTGATGCAAAAGTGATAAACTTCACCAAATTCGTTAAAATAAGGAAAAAACAGCAATTTTTGAAGTACTACGTGACTTTTGCGGTGTGGGGGCGTCAACTTAAATACTAGGGCAAGTCACGAGGGGGGAGGGGGGACAAAGAGTAGCGAAAATCGGTCACGTTGAATGAGTACGATCCGTAGGGGTCTCAGGTGTGACGATATCGAGGGTTATTCCCCACGAAATGAGGAAAAATGGGTGTTCGAGGGACAAAGGGGAAAAATTGTAAAATGAGGGGAAATCTGTGAAAATCGGCCAATTTTTCTGAAATTTGCTGTATTTTCTCAATAACCGAAATTAATTTGATTGAAACGCGATGCAATTTTGACTGGTTGGCACCACAACATAGTGAAGGCGCGTGCACGCTTTACTGTTTTGATTGAAGTCGAAATGAGTGAAGGTAGTGAGCGTGAGCAAGTCATGAGTATCAAACAAGGGAAGGATTCAACCAGAAATGTTTACGGTTCAGAAAATAAGAGAGTACGACGGGTCCTACGAGAAGAATACGATCTCGCCGCGCCGAACCAGACAAGTACGATCTCGCCGCGACAAACCAGAAAAGTACGATCTCGCCGCGACGCTCCAGAAGCGTGCGAACTCATTTCGCCGCGGCGCGTGCACTCGGAGCTTTAGACGCCTCTTACTCGTCGCAGGCATGTCGCAGCAGTTTGGGCGGCATCTCATTTTAATCCCTATTGTTT